ATGATTAGCTGCCTTCTCTAAGCGGGCAGCATCCATCCGTCCACTGTAGCCTTGCCCTTGGACAATGAGTGAGAGTAGGAGGTTTTTTCCCATTTCCTTTATAAAGAAAGAAAAAGATGTTAGTCCCTGAACTTGGACTAGAAAAGGACAGTTCTTGAGACAATCAAGTGCTGGGACTGTCCTGCCTCTTTAAACGACCCTATCTCCAAGGGTAGGGCTTGTCGTGCATTGTAATTTGCTTCTGCAGACTTTCCCTATAGCTTAAATTTTCTTCCACGAGCATGCCTTGACTCAGATTAAAAAGGGCTGTTTTACAAAACGAGCCTTGCTTTCCATCCACGCTGGTACAGGGAGTGTAGCAGGTGCTAGCGGTGCTGGCTTCGAAGCCCGGGGGGGTTAGTTCAGAGCCCACACCTCTGTTTTCCTGCCCTGCCCTGCTGTTTCTCCTCCTGGCCCTCCTTGCTCCCGCCCACTCCACCCTGGGCTTTGTGCCTTTGCCTCCGTGGTTTGGCTTGTTTCCTCTTGATTGACAGCCCATTTTGGAGTCCCATATCCAGGCTGACCTCTGCCTTGGGCAGCAGAGAAGGGCTGGGGTTTATCTCAGAGCTGGGTGCTCGGAGTCGGCACTGCCCTGGCCTCACTCTCAGCCCTGGACTCTGTGGGCCACACATGACAACATAACTGACGTCCAGGCTCGAGAGGAAGCTGGACATTCAGAAGCAATTCTTGCTTGGGGATTTGCTGTCTTGGACCCAGCACCCGCTTCCTCTCTCTTTTTAGAAGAGGGCAGTAACTTGTCATCTATAAATTGATGAAAGTCTGTTGCTCTGTGGTGGCTGGTGTGTTGCTGTGATGCTGGAAGCGACGTCGCTGATATTCTGAATACCACCAGGGTCATGCAAAGAGTAAAGGTTTCAGAGAGCTTTCAGACTAAGAAAAGACAAGAGAGAAGGAATAGAGGCTGTCCACTTCTAAGGCATCAGTCCCTGGAAACCTCTTATGAATCGCAGTGGAACACCATCAGATACTGAAAGCCTCATGAACAACAGCAGCCCATGGTCAAGAGACAGGGCCAGAGGAGGAGCCCCCCAAAAAATATGCCTGGGGAACAGGGCTGCCTTCCAAAAGCAGAGGTGACCAAAATAGTCAATGGGGGGACTCCTTGGAGACCCTTCATTGGCGGAGGGGGTGTGCCTCAAGTGAGAAGGAGCTGCTGTCTTACCCCGCCTCGGTGAACCCCAGTGTAAAGGTCCTAGTCAATTTAAATGCAGCCCTCTTAACAATGCCACCATACTGTGTTAATTAGCCCGAGTGTAGTCATTTTGTACGGATCCAAGTGTGGCCCTTTTTGCACCTACTGGGATTCTTCTTGAAACTGCTGTTTAATGGCTGAGCCCCTGCCATTTTTTTCTCGCAATTGCTAATGATGTGTCTAAATCCCCTGCTCTGTTTTTGTAAGGTCCCATATTTCCCAAGACCATAACACCACCTGCCTTGGTAACCGAGTTCTCCTTTCCCACACAGTATGCCGCCTCCCGCCCTGTATGCCTGGCTTGTTCCACAGTATAAAACGCCCCCACTTTAACCACTCAGGGTTTGGGGAGCGTTCGGCTCTAGCTGCTCCATGACTGCTGGCTTACTAATTTTTATTAAAGCTGCATGTGGGTTCATTGATCTTGTCCTGGCACCACACTACAGTAAACATCTATTAAGAGTTGGCACTTGGGATGTACAAATATGAATCTAGGAAAATTGGAAGTCATGAAAAATGAAATGGAACACAGGTATGTAGGTTTTAGTGAGCTGAAATGAACTGGAATCGGCCATTTGAATCAGAAAAAGCTTACAGTTTACTATGCCAGGAAGAAGAGATTCAAGGCGAATGGCATTGCAGTCATCGTCAAAAAAAAGACATTTCAACATCTGTCTTGAGGTACAACGCTGCGTGTGATAGACTATTATCTAGGTGCAGATAAATAAATCCAGACCACACAACTGTTATTTAAATGTATGCACCAACTACTAAAGTTAGTGATACAGAAATTGAAGAATTCTACCAATGTCTTCAGTCTGAAATTGATCGAATATATAATCAAGATGCATTAATAATTTTTGGTGATTGGAATGCAAAGTTGGAAACAGAGGAAGGAACAGTAGTTGGGAAATAGAGTCTTGGTGACAGAAACGGCTGGAGATTACATGACAGACTAAAGACTTCTTCATCACAAGTACTTTTTCAACAATACAAACAGCGATTCTACACATAGACCTTGAATAAAGATGGCCAAAGAAAAATTGATGCATTTGAATTATGGCAAAAGATATTGAAAGTACCATGGATTGCCAAAAGAACCCGCAAAGCGGTCTTGGAAGAAGTACAGGCAGAATGCTCCTTAGAAGCAAGGATGGCATGACTTCATCTCACATACTTTGGACATGTTTTCAGGAGGATCAGTCCCTGGGAAAGGACATCATGCTTGGTATAGTCGAGGGGCTGCTATACCAAGAAGACCTTTGACAAGATGGACTGACACCACGGGCACAACAATGGCTTCAAACATAAGAGCAACTGTGAGCATGCTGCAGGACCTGGCGGTGTTTGTTGTTTTACAGAGAGTAAGGGAAGAGCCAGAAGCAAATGTGAGGTTGATGACGGTATAAGATTTATGGACTTGAAGGTAATGTTCCAGTTGAAATTCAGATGATTCAAGATTATAAGTTGGTTTTGCTTTGTTCCCCTCCTTCATTTCTGAACATGGCTGTTGGAATTTGGAGCAGCCAAGCTACTTCGGCTTTTCTAAGCCTTAGAATCTAAAGTATCCAGAGATTACTTAAACATGTACAAATGAGCTGGGAGACCCTAACTGACCACCTTGACTGGAGGCATCAAGAAAAGAGGTGGGCATGATGCGTCCGTGGTATACCCCGCTCTCCTCTCCCTCAGAGACCTGATAGGTTAAAGCAACAGCTTTCTTTCTGGTTTAGTTTCATGGTCTCTGACCCCGACTCCCAGTGGTCAGATGGGAAAAATGCACACTGCCCTCTGTATAGCCTGCTAGATAAGCTTTGGGGTATAAAAATGCCCGAGAGAGACGTTTTCACTCTTCCTTGGCTATAAACCAAACTCACTGCCATTGAGTTGATTCCAACTCATAGTAACACTATAGGACAAGGTGGAACTGTCCCTTCGGGGTTTCAAGACTATAAATCTTTACAAGAGTAGAAAACCTCATCTTTTCCCCAATGGAACCACTGGTGGTTTCAAACTGATGACCTTGTGGTTAGCAGCCCTACTTGTAACCCACTACTCCACCTTGGCTTCAGTGCTAGGTGAAGGCACAGGTAGCAGGCGTTTTCAGCTACTGAGTAATGGAGCCACCTAGCCTGGAAGGGTTAGCAGAAGGTAGGCTCCCTCCTCTATGGAACAAAGTGGGGTATGCATAGAAGAGTAGCCATCTCCACTTTGACCGCTTTATTTTTTTGAGTCAAAGAGAGGATTGACGAACACATGGATCTGCGTTTACTCTGGTGGGTTATTATTCGCTTCTTGTGCGTAAGAAAGGTTCTCCATGATCTGAAAGAGTCTAGTGAGCATGGGCTGTGGTCAGAAGGACTTGATCTTCATAGAGGAATCATTTTAGTGACTGGATGCTTTTTCAAATGGTCCTGTGGCTCCTTAGGAATCAGGGACAACCTATGAGTGCATCACAGTGGTTTTAGCAAAGAGAGTAAGTAAGGGCCAGGTAGGGGTTGGGCTGAGCATGGGTTAGGCTTTGATGCAGGGTTATGGCTAGTGTGTGGTTGCTGGTAGGGTTGGGTCAAGTTCTTGACCCAACTCTCGGAAGCTCATGGGGGAGGGACTCCTCTTTGAGGGTTGCTAATTCTAAGTGGGGCTGAATGCTGACTTATTGTGGTACAGTTTGGGGCTGAGTGAGAAAAGGAATACTGTTTTCCCTCTGGAAGTGCTTGGAGTTGAGGTGCCACCTACTATTCTGGGGCAGCCCCCTGAGGACCCAGTCTGGGAGTTTATCTCCTTGGGCTCCTGTGCACACAGAAGGTGGAACAAAAGCCAACGTGAGCCTATATGTTTGTCTCTAACCCTCCTATACCATTAGGCAGATGGGAGCAAACTAACCCAATTCACCGCTATCAGGTCAATTCTGACTCATCGTGACCCTACAGGACAGGGTAGAGCTTCCTCTGTGAATTTCCAAAGCTGTAACTCTTTATGGGAATAGAAAGTCCTGTCTTTCTCCTGAGGATTGGTTAGTAATTTTGAACTGCTGACCTTGTGGTTAGCAGCATAACGTGTCACCACTACAGCACCAAAGCTCTAATAGAGAAAAGCCCTTTGGAAATAGCTAATGATGAACGGAGCAAACGATGATCCTGTTCAGCTTCTAATTGAGAGGCTGGGGGCTAGATTCCACCCAGACTTTCCTTAGAAGGCAGGCCTAGCAATCTACTTCCAAAGGTGCAGGCCCTGAAAACCCTATGGTCCACGTTTCTACTCTGACCCACATAAGGTGTCATGACTTAGAATTGACTCGATGACAACTGGTTTTCGTTCTTTCTTTTTCTTTATTTTTAAAATCATTTTACTGGGGGCTCATACAACTCTGATCATAATCCATCCATCCATTCATTGTATGCCAAGCACATTTATATATTTTGTTGCCCTTATCATTCCCACCTGGTTTTATTTTTAATGGCTGTAAAATACATGCAAGGACTTCAAAAAGTTCTTAGCATATTCCATGATCATTTCATTTTATTTTTTTCATGAACTTTTTGAAGCCCCCCACCTTCCCACCCACACCCTCTCCCACACCCACACACCCATAGTTGCCTATTCAACATTTTTAGGTTTATAATTTTGTAATCTCCATTACAGCAGTACTGTGTGCAAACGTCACCGAACACCCGATTAAAAGGAAGTAACGGTCAAGAGAAGGTGGTGTGCTGGAAGGTAGTGAAAAGAGCGAAAAGGAAGGACCAACCTGGAGTGAGGGCCCAGACTCCGGTGCTGGCTCTCATTCCTGAGTGGCTTTATCTTCAGGTGGCCCTGGGTGAGAGGACAGGATTAGAAGAGTTCAAGAATTAAAAAACAAACAAACACGTTTTCTTTGCAAAGAAAATCTTTCACAAACTGTCTTTGACATTTTTTTAAGAGATCATACAATTTCTCTGGGAATCTGTTGCTACCGTGGAATGTCACTCAGGAAATTCATATGCAGACGTGTGTGCACACAGCGCCCTGGGAGCGTGGGGAGCGTAGGGTTATGACTTGGGTTGCTAACTGCAAGGACAGCAGTTCAAAATCATTAGTTCAACTTGGGAGAATGATGAGCTTGTGAGTCCGGGTGGACTAGAGAAACAAATCCTGGGAGCCTTATATGTGGGTAAGAAAGAGCTTTATATCAAAGAGCAATTGTATATTAACATCCCAGCCCAGTCCGGATCAAGTCCATAAGTCCAGTATTAGCCCATATGCCTGGTACCAATCTATAAAGTCCACTTTAGACTCACGAAACGCATGCAATGATTCAGGAAGATCACGGGCCGGTGGGTGCGAAGTCTTGTGGATCTGGTAGTGGTGTAAGCATCTCAGTGCTGGCAGGGGTCTCCACATGGCTCCTCCAGCTCAGGGCACTAGCAGAGCTCCATGCATCTTGTCAGCTGCAATGTCTCACAGGGAGTGAGCATGTGTCCTGCTTCCAGCGAGCAATTTATCTCCTTAACACCTCCAAGTGAGGTCATCAAGCTACGACCTGATTGACATGCTAGACTCCACCCCTTCACTCTGAATCCGCAAATTGGCACCAGGTTATGTAACTACCGAAAGGAAGCTAGCTGCTCCCATAAAGATTTACAGTCTCAGAAACCCACAGGGGCAGTTCTAGTTTGTTCTAAAGGATTGTGATGAATGGGGATCAACTTGCAAAGGTGATGAGTTTATTTCCTCTCTCTCTCTCTCTCTCTCTGTGTGTTCGTCTGGGTAGACTTGAGAAACGAGTCCACAGAAACTCATATGTATATGAGAGAGAGTTTTATATAAAAGGTAAGTGTACATGAAGAAAGCATTGCAACCCAGTTCAGTTCAAGCCCATAAGTAAAACATTAGCCCTTATGTCCGACACCGATCCACAAAGTCCTCCTCAAACTCGCAAAACACACACAGTGACGCCGACTGCAGGAGGAAAGCCGAATCAGTAAATGTGTAAGCATCTCAGCGCTGGCAGGGGTCTCCACACAGCTGCTCCAGCACCCAGGGCTGCATCGGGGTAGGTCCATGTGGCTTCTCCTCAGGGATGTCTCACAGGAAGTGAGCCTTGCCAGCTGAGGCCAAGAACGCTAACGCAGCTGCACCCTGGTGCAACCATCAGAGAACAAGAAACCAGAGAACAAGAAAGGCGAGGATCACCGAGCCTTAAATCTCTGCCTTTCAATTAATCCCACATGTGTTTATCAACCAGGATGGCACAATAAACCTTAACTATCACACATTCTCTCTCTCAAAACCTGCTCTAGAATCTTGCCCAGAATTGATCATCTATGGTTACCATTATCTACTTCTGTTTTGAAATACAGCAATAATTAAAAAACAACAACCTTAATTCTGTCTACATAGCTCTAGAACTTCAGCATCCTTCATATCAGTTCTCTTAAATCAGCCCTTAAACTCCCCCCCCCCATAAAAACCCAACCAAATAAAAAAAAAAACACCTGAGCTTTGAGTGAAACTGCGTTTACTAAAAAGTTCACTGTGACCAGAGAGAACCTTCCCAGGCCACACCCCTGAGTGCCCTGACTCGGCCGGTTGGTTGATGTTCACCTAGTGGGAAAAATGCATACTATGAACACTCTGCCCAGTGGAACTATTTCTGTTTTTGTTTTTTTTTGAGGGGGCAATACCACGCCCATACACACCACACACAGTAACTTGTATTTATTGAAGGATGCATGAGAAATTCAACAACAGTGGTGGCTGCTGGGGCCCTTGAATGTACCGTGTTATCTGGTTTGTACTGTAGACTTTCGTGTCTTGCATGCTTATTACCTTTTACTTGCCAAGCTGCTCTGTCCGTTGGATGACAGTCATACAGTTCACACGGGAACCTGACCTCGGAGACCCTTGCCCTGACCAGAGCCCCCGCCCCTGCTTAGCTTTGCCCCCACTTGTTGCCATTGTGACTGCTGGCTCTCAGAAGCCCTCTCTGTTGGGATAGGAGTATCCCTGAGCTCAGGAATCCGCGTCTGCTCAGAGTTTCCCTCTGTGTTCTTGTTCTCAAAATGTTCTGCCTCCTCTGCTTAAGACTCCATCATGAGCCAAAGGGCCCCGCTGGGTGGAAAGAAGAGGCGGGCCCAGGTGCTGACCCCTACCTCCTGCCGCCCTCCCAAAGGTGATCTATGGCTTGTTCGAGGTGTGGGCTCTTGCCACTTGCTGAATAGAAAGCGTCTTTGTCCGTGGGAGTGAAAATAACCCAAAGATAGATGCTGGGGCTGCCTCCAGCTGCCCAGAGGCTCCGCACTGGAGCAGGAATCTAGTGGGTTGAGGGCAACAGGAGAAATGTTTCTAAGGGGAGACCAGGTCTGGGAGTCTTCTGGGGTAAATGGTGAGGTATGGCTCCTAGAAAGTGGCTGTGGGCTCTTTTCCCAGACAGCTCGACGCCCCAAACCTGCTGCCACCTAGTTTAGTCACCCTCTGACAACCATGGAAACGTCCTAGGCCCCCATCACTAACTGCTTAGGAAGCAACTAGCCTTCCCATCCGACCAACCAACCCCCTGCTATCAAGTTGACTTTATTTATGGAGAGCCCAGGTGTGTGAGCATAGAACCGGGTGCTGGATAGGCCTTTCAATGACTGAGTTTGGGGAAGCAGGCCTTTCTTCCAAGTGTTTCTGGATCGACTCAAACTTCCAACCACTTACCCTGTTTCCCCAAAAGTAAGACATCTCCCGAAAATAAGACCTACTTACAGCTTTGCCTCTCCCTGAAATAGAAGGCATCCCCCGAAAATAAGACCTCCCCAAAAATAAGCCCCCCCTCCAAGCTACCGTAACTCTGGACTCGGGACCGTAGTGGCAGGCACCGCCGCGCAGCTCACTGTTGGCCGCAGCGCAACCAGAGCAGACAGGAAGTGCAAGGTCTCTTTTAATAAAACAATAAACAATAAATGTGTACCGCATTCTTCATCACCTGAAAATAAGACGTAGTGCATCTTTGGGAGCAAAAATTAATATGAGACACTGTCTTATTTTCCTGGAAACAGGGTAATTATTCGCTTATTCCCCATCCACCCCAACCCCCAACCCCTGGCCCCAAACTCACTGCCATGGGGTTAATTCAAACTCACCGTGAGTGACCCTATAGGACAGAGTAGAACTGTACCTGTGGATTTCTGAGATGGTAACTGTTTATGAGAGGAGAAATCGTCCTCTTTCTCCCTTGGAGGAGCTGGTGGATTCAAACCGCTGACCTTTGGACTAGCAGCCCAGCATTTAACCCACCACAGGACTCCCCTCAGTGTCCTCTTCTACCTTCCTCCCCTGTAGCCCCTACAAAATTCCCGTCTCTCTCTCCCTTCAGGCTTCCTACCTGACTCTCTCCCGCTCCCTTTCCTTCCTGGGCCTTCATTTTAATGCTCTTCCTGTTGTTGAGAAAGGGCAGGACCCTGCTCTGCACCTGGTCTCTGCAAACCCCATAAAATCCAGGGTATGAGTCTTCCATGGACCATAACCTCCCCTGTCCCAATCTGGTCCTGGCAGGACTGAATTGGAAGATGCTGGTGCTGCCAGGCGAGGAGAAAGGGGAGAGAGGAGGGTTGTTCCAGGCTGTTGGCAGTCTCAAAGCCACAGACACGGGCTGAAGCGGTTTCATTTTCGCCCTCCTTCCTAAGGTTCTGGGGCAAAGTATCGATTTTCAACCCAGGCACTTTGGGAGGTAGCCTAAGACCTCCCAAGAACCTCAGATCCCAGGGGGCCAGAAACCCAAGAGGATAAGGATGAGGAGAGCCTTAGCATCAGTCACCCAAGAAAGCCAGAGGCCACAGGCCCCCGCTATTCACACCCTGGTTCTGGCCCACGTAAGAGGGCCTTCGAGGCTTGAGAATGAAGAGCTACAGAGAGGATTGTGGACAAATCCTCCCAGGCCACAGCCCTGGCCCTCCCTCTTGATAAGAACGCTTTCTCCTGTGAGGTCTGGGGAGAAGGAAGCTGTGGGGTCACCAGGAGAGAGTTTGGGGCAAGGGAGGCAAGCTCCTCGGGCAGCTGGGCGCACAGTGGGCTAAATCTCTGGTTTGCTCTCTGGGCAGGAAGTGGCCGCCCAGGGCTGTTTCCAACCTGGGCACGCGGAAGCAGCCCTTCTCCCGTGGTTTTTCTGGCTGGTTTGAGAAACAGAACGGACTGGGACCTTAAGGACAAGCAGCACAAGGTGACAAGAGGAGCCAGTCAGCTTCCCACTTTCCTCCCCAAGCTGGGCTGACACCTCAGGGCTCTGGTTCCCGCCTCTTGCCCCCCCCGACCCTGCACCTGAGTAAGGCTTCTTCATAGGATGGTTCGGAGTGTCCTCCTCCAGGCCCAGCCCTGCCCCGGCCCTCTATCAGCTCAGCTTCTCGGCAGCTCAACTCTGCAAGTCTGGACTCGATTAGGATGGGGCTGGGCTGGTGTGCAGCGGTGCAGGAGAGAAGCGGGCAGAGTGAGATTGACCTTGATTGCATCCTTGGGTGTCAGAGGCTCCAATAAAGTCTGAACCTCTATGATCTTATTTAAACCTCACAAGAGATTTTTTTTTTCCTTCCGGAGTAACACTGGTGTAACTTAATAATAGATGCGTTGATTTTTTTTTTTTGCATAAAAAATTTTCGCCTTAGATTTTGGCATCCCTCTCAGTGGAGACATTAAAACAATTTTAAAGATCTTCACGCCTGAAAATGTTCCCACCTGTAAGAGTTCAGGTGCTCGTACTTGAAAGTGTTCTTAAACTCACTGCCGTCCGAGTCGATGCCGACAGCATGGAGAAGCTGGTGGTTCCAAACTGTGACCTTATGGTGAACAGTCCACTG